CCTAGTAGTAAGGCCAGGAGCCCCTAATAGCTTCTTGTTCCTAGTAGGGCCCTATCATATAGCTAGGGTTTGGTTCTTCGGTGCCAAATACCTGCGGGTATGGGGAGGAGCCCGCTCTCCCATGGCCCAAAGGTTGATGTGATTCTACATGACTTTACAAGTGCAACGGGGCCTTTAGAAGCCACTGAACTTCTGAATGTCGCAGAAGAAGTGCGATAGCATCGGGCTATGTCTTCTCTTCAATCCATTTGGGTCTTTGGGATTCCCATCATTTGGATGTCAAACCACGTTGTCTGATGTTTTAAATTTCGAGAAGGTGTTTTTTTGATCCCAAGGTTGCCGACAGCACAAATGCCAGGCTCACATGGTCTCCGCAGTCGATGCCCATGACGTGAGGACTTACCACCGAAAATGAAAACGAGTATCCAAAAAAAAAACATCTAAAGGACTGGCCTGTCTACCTCAGATAGATCAGATCTCGGAATCGGACTTTGAAGCCAGGCTCATCCGGTTCAGATTAGTATATACTCTTCAGTCGTAAAACGCCCCAGAACATGGATTGTAAAAATTTTTGGTATGTGTTTGTTTCCGTTATGATGAAGAGTCTACATTCTACAACTGTCTTTTGCATGGATTGGGTCCAGATCGACCGAGCTAAACAGTTTGGCATGGATTGGGTACGGAAGCTGCGGGAAACGACTTGCGGCTTGCCGATGGTCGAACAGCGTCCACCAATGTGATGGCGACCGTTGGGCGACCAGCGCTGCCTGTGCTTGGACTGGGCTGCTCGACCAGCGCCTGCCGGATGGTTGGCTGGGACAAAGCGGTTGAAGAATCCAAGACATCATGAAGTTGATAAAACCAATTTATACAAACACGGAGTGCCTGACCTGAAAGCACTAGATATGATAGCCTTAAGTTGCAAACCTTAAGCTGACCCTGGACCATGGATGACCAATGTGCTACCATGGATGACCATGTGAGTCGTTGGCAGCAAAAGAAATCCATCCTTCACCTTCACCGCCAGGAAAATAAAATGTCTACCCGACACCCTTAGGCATGAAAACAAATCTGTTTGGGACAGCAGGTCGCTTTGGCACTGAAAGGGTCGGTTTGCTTGTTGAATGCGGCACCTTGGTGACCCTCTGTGCTTCCAACTGATCAACCTGGTTTGACCAAGCGCTCGGCAAGGTTTGACCTTCAGCACACGAAGAGAGGACGTCTGAAGGAATTTTTTCTTTTTCGGTACTGCTGGCGTTGATGGAGAAAATCAATGCATGTTGCCAGTGGCCACCCTTCTCACAAGCGCTGATGACAGCCTCAGAGAACTAGTCACTAGATGGAGTAGATCCCAGTCGAAGCTCCCCACAATTAAATATATGTGCTTCTCACAGTAGAACCTCAAATTCAGTGATTTGTTGTGGGCGGGCCGATCCCTCCTAAAACACACGGGGATTTGTTGGCAACCGACAGTTGTGTGTGTGTCAACCTCTGTAACCAAGAGTTTCGACTCCTTTCGTCCTTTTCAGTGCAGGGGGACGGGTCACCACCGATACTGCCTGTCCAACGAAGAGGGTATCGGTTGGTGCTGAAGCAGTGGAAGACGCCCCACTGTGTACCTGCATCAAACGCAATGACTCCACTTGTTTCCCTTGCCGCTGTTGGTTTGTTTCCAGGGTGGTTCTTCGCATGATATCCCCCAAAACAGGTTTCCTCGCATGGCGTGAATTCAGTCTGCTAAGTAATCAGTAACTAGTTTTCTGCAGTCACGCGTCAACCTTTGTTAAAACACCTTCAAGTACTCGGACTTTTTGCCTTTCGGTTCACTCTTTCCTTTCCTAGGTCTGCTAAGTATTCAGTAACTAGTGTTCTGCGGTCACGCTTAACCTTCTGTTAAACCACACTGTTTTGCGGACTCTTCCACCTTTCGGTTCCATCGCCATTTTCGACCTGGGAACTGAGCTAACTGAAAACCAATTTCAGAGTGTGAACCGCTCAGTCGTCCCACTTGGGTGCTGGGTGTGATCTCCCACAAGGGAGCGCTGTCTTCATTCCGGGGTGCCACTAACTGATTTTCCTCCGTTCTGCACACGTTGGATTTTCTTAACTGACTTTGTTTCACTACTGGATTCCCAAAACACCATGCCGTCGGGCCTACGACAATACGTCCACCTTTGCTGTCAGTCGTTTTGAGTGAGCTTCTGAGTTGAACATGTCCACTTGCGGCTCACCTTCCACGCCACCGGGCTTATGGCCATATATATGTGTCACACATGCACATCCACGCACCCCCCCCCACCTTGCAACCAATTCGTGTTTCTATCCCACCCGCTATCTAGGGTAACAGAAGGAAATGGTACTCGACACACTTGTGTGTCGGTACCTTTCCTTCTGTTTCTCCTTTTCTACTCCTAGCTACCCGGGCGGTTTAAGACGAATTTCCGGCTCGCTAACTAATGAATTTAATTCATGCAGCTAAGTATTCAGTAACTAACAGGTTTCGTAACTAGTGGGCCTCGTAACTACACCTATCTTTCTCTCTTGCCTTTGCGTTTCCCTTTCTGTCTTTCTTTTCTTTCTTTCTAAGGCTTTTTAGGTGGTTGGTAAGTTCCTCCAGAGCGCCGATATCGGCGCTCTGTGTGTGTCAACCTCTGTAACCAAGAGTTTCGACTCCTTTCGTCCTTTTCAGTGCAGGGGGACGGGTCACCACCGATACTGCCTGTCCAACGAAGAGGGTATCGGTTGGTGCTGAAGCAGTGGAAGACGCCCCACTGTGTACCTGCATCAAACGCAATGACTCCACTTGTTTCCCTTTCCGCTGTTGGTTTGTTTCCAGGGTGGTTCTTCGCATGATATCCCCCAAAACAGGTTTCCTCGCATGGCGTGAATTCAGTCTGCTAAGTAATCAGTAACTAGTTTTCTGCAGTCACGCGTCAACCTTTGTTAAAACACCTTCAAGTACTCGGACTTTTTGCCTTTCGGTTCACTCTTTCCTTTCCTAGGTCTGCTAAGTATTCAGTAACTAGTGTTCTGCGGTCACGCTTAACCTTCTGTTAAACCACACTGTTTTGCGGACTCTTCCACCTTTCGGTTCCATCGCCATTTTCGACCTGGGAACTGAGCTAACTGAAAACCAATGTCAGAGTGTGTGCGCGTGTGTGTGTGTGTGTGTGTGTCTGTGTGTGTGTGCACAAGGGCACCTGGACAAACTGAAAAGTTGTTCTGGAACGTTCTACCAGTACCTGACTTCAGGGGACCGAACGCCCTGTCACCTTCAGTTCTCATGAACCGTGGACAGGGCTTCATGAACCGTGCCCGGTCACATGAACTGTGTCGCTCCAAATGCACCTCTTTCTCAGCAGTCCAACCATCGGTTGGTCTCGACCGGTCAGCGTTGGGGAGACAACACCGCTGACAGCACCGCCACAACTGCGCTGTCAAGGCGATGTGACTAGCTGCGGGACAGCTGTGATGCTGAAAGCTGTGGTGGTTCCTTCTGAAGAACACATGCTCATATAGTTCTGCATATCCCAGTATACCAGGGTCCAGTGGACGATGGTGGTTCAGTTGCAGGCCTTTCTCAAAGTCTGTTATATGTTATTTTTCAACGACTGTTGCTGGTACTGGGACACACACTCACATCAGACTCGCATCTAACAAAACACAATCCGAACGAACTGCCTCTTCCTTGGTTTGCCCTTCCATTGCCAGGCCACAGAGTAGCTGAGAGCATCAGCTTGGATCTGGGCTTGGAGCATCTGGTCAAAGACTCTGACAGCATGTTGCCATGCAGCAGCCCTCTCACAGGAACCTCAGGCACCACAGTTCACACGCGCACTCCACGGGTGAAACGCACAGCTGAAGGGCAACCACAATAAATGACCTTCAGATCAAATGGAATACAATATGTACACAATACATATATACCATGTACACAATACAATACCAGTTGGTTGTATATGTGACTATGTATACTTTGTACTACAACCAAATGTACAAAATATCTATGTACATATACTATGCACATACAATGTAACCTTGTTGAACATGTTTATCTACGATGGCTTGGGTATAGTTCCCGACTTATACCCAGCCGATACACCGATTGTCGACGAAAATGGTTCTCCCGCCAGCCCTGCTTGAGCTTGCACCAGCTTCCTGGAAAGGAGACTGTGAAACTTTGATTTGCTGTCGAGGAACCCGGAGAACAAAAACAAAAGGATGTTCCAAGAAAGAGGAGGATTCAGGTGAGAAAGTTTGGTTTCGGATTCACCCAGAAGAGGTGAGGATTCACCCAGAAAGTCTCTAAGGATTCACCCAGATCCGAGGATGATCAAGGTGAGACTGGATTCATCCTTCGGTCCTTCGGTTCCCCAGGTCTTCACCCAGGCACCGGGAGAACGTCGAACGGACCATACACACGAACTCCGACACGGCGAATCCACAACCAAACACCAGAGTACCAAGTGGTACTGATAACTGGATAAGCACTGGTGGTACTGATGACTGGTTTATCCAGGAATAACGCAACAAACCACTGGATAAACTACACACCAGTAGCTGATAACCACAACAATTTCATTGACTAGGATGGTCATCGCAGTGGATGGGGATAGATGGGGCGTTCGAAAACATTGCTCTCTTGGTGCAAAACTCATTGTACCCAAGCAACAAAGAGAAATGGCTCGTTACACTCTGACACACCAACATGGATGTGGAAGATAGAGAAATGGCTCGTCCCTTAGAAGATTACTCTTCTTTGCGAACAGGGGGTTGTCCGCTTCCATGGAACTTGAGCCCAGAGTGCAAACCGTTGCGGCATGTCCAAGTACATACCTTGAACTTGGGGATTGGACCTCCTCTGATTTCACGTCGCCGATGTCACTGTCTGAGTCTGGGTTCCAAATAAGGCAACAAGCAAATAAAACGTATTTCATATGTGTTCATACATGACATGACATGACATGACATTACATGATGCGACTACATACATGATCCCCGTGTCCGTTCTGGGTAAAGGGTCCTTAGCCCCATGTTATAGACATAAAATTGTCTTCCATAACCTTGTCAGGTGTATAGGATGTCCACACACACCCAGCATAAAATGACTCTACCTGACATCTGCAAGAAGTCAATGCAAAGCTCATCAAACCTCTTTTCATCTAGAAGCTCTCGCACACACAGTTTTCGGAGGATATGGACTGGAGGATCATACATGCATTGATATGTATATATATATATATATGTGTTGTACCGTGTATTTTTAGATTCAGTTCTTCTGAACATGCTGATTGCACAGCGGTCGAACTTGCAAACTTCTTCAACCTTCCAGCGCCATTTCTCGAAAGGGTAGGCCACTCGTGAGTCTGTTTTTCAAGCACCGGAAAATACACTCCCATTTAAAAAGACTTGGATTTGCTTCAGAAACTGAGAAAAACACATACAGTAATTATATATATATGTAATTATAAACCAAATATTCTCCCTGCCGGGGGATTCACCTAGTTCGGGAAAATCAACATCACCCTAAGCAAAACCAGGATGAACAAATACTACATGTGGTATCTTGCGATATCGAAGGGATGAATCCAACGAATCCCTGAGGCTAGACACCCCTCCAAGTCATCTCAAAATCCAAAGAGGACTTTGCAGGGCTGAGGACGCACAGCACTTCGTGTCTGGCCCATCTAGCCCAATCAGTTTGAAAGCCACAACTAAGGCTTCGCCATACCACTGCAGAGTGGGCACCCCTCCCACATCGGCCGCTCTGCCACCGGCCCGTTCCGTCGGATCAGTTCCGAGCGGCTGATCGCCGAGCTGAAGCTGATCACGTCGGGTTGCAAATGAGAGGAAGCCATGCCACTCAGCAGCCTCCGCGAGGTGGGAGACCAGTGAAACTCAGAGGTTCGATGGCACTGGCACCCCAAGATGACTTTTATATAGGGGTCCATATCAACCACCGACCTTGGGGATTGTGCCATCTATTCTGGAACCACTGCTTTTTGCTATTCTGGAGTCGGATGCCAAATATGGTTCCGCAAAATAGTGGAGGGAGTGACCCATGTGATGGATTTCAACTCATTCAGATATGTACTGTAATTCAAAACAGACTGAGCCACAAAACACACTGGTTGGTAGTTGGTAGAGGAGAATCGTCTTCTAGTCAGACTGTTCAGGGGCAGAGTGGGTATATTACCATTTGTAGTGGTGAATATTTAGAGGTTATTGGGAAGTACTTCTTGCCCAATCCTACTGTGAAGGCATCCCCTGTTGGGCCTACTTGACTCTTCGACTTCAAATCCCAAAGCAAAACCATTCTCAGATCTTTTTCCACACACAACATTGAACATTTAAAAATATAGAAAACCTTCAAGCTTCCGAAGTCTTAGCGCAGTCGGAAAAGTGTCCTTCAACACCATCTTGCCCCCGAATTCCATGGTCTTGCGCCCACCTCAAGGTCTTGCGCCATTCACTGCTCTTTCCACAGCCGCTCAGGCAGGCGTTGTAGCTCCTTCGACTCAAAGGTAGCTCATTATGCCAGATTGCCTCCAGCAGGCCTCGAATTGAGTCGAATCGACCATTTTTTTTCCCGTGATTGTGACGATTGAGTGGTTGCAACGTGTGCCTAACTGAGGTAGCAACTGATCATCAAGGTTCATATCATCTACACCCTCCAAAAGAAAATAGCGGTGGAGGGTGGAATCAGAATAGAGCCTGAATCCCCTTAAGCCCCATGGCCCATGTGAGCCAAACACCATAACTGGTTACTATGCCACAGCTTGCTCAACTGGAGGCGGAATGTTAGTTGGCAGGTTGGCACGTCGGAGGTCCGACATCTCCAGTTGGTCAGGAGGTCCATTGAACACAACCCACTGGGTCGAATGGGTCTCGAACCGCTGGTGTTTCAAGCACGTTCATTGATCTTTTTTGCATGAGTCCCTCTCTGCTATCCATCGACCGATCCTTGTTACCGACTTCAACTTGCACACATGATGAAGCCAATCTATTCCTCCGTAGCTTGTCCTATTCAGGTGGACTTGGTGTCACACAAAGCACCTTTGGCATGTGGGTGTCCTTTGGATTACCTTTAGCGTACGCATACAAGGCTTTGGATTAACACACACACACAAGTCACAAGTGAACATTGTACAAATCACCAGGTTTTCATTTGACATACCATTCACCTACTGCGGATGGAAGAAAGGCCGTACGACCTGGAACACATTAAATCACTGCAACGTGGAGAGGCACACGTCCTCCGGATTTCTGCCAACGACTTGGAGATACTTTGAGAAAACACGTCCTCCGGTTGTCTATGTTCAAATCAAAGCGTTGAACAACTCCTGACCAGGCTTGCCAAGGAGCATGGTCTTCTGAGGTCCCACACCACACAAGTAAAGGATCTGCCAGGACGCTCCCCCAAACGTAAAGAAAAATAAGGGTTGCTCCCCCGCCATGGGAGGCCGAGTCTGATCGAGTCTGTCTCTGCCAAGCATCTGAGTGCTTCAGCCCACCGTGTCAAACGCTCGGCAGCGCTGACGCCCAAGGAATAGCCCAGAGCATCCGTCGAACGCATCGAACGCATTGAACGAAACAAACTCAGGGCCTCCAGGGACGCCGCACAAACCACGGCGGTTCGACCGAGTTGAAAAAGCCACAGCCTAGTTAGTTAGTGGTACTATCCCATACGTAGGGTTCTTTTCAAAGCAAAGCAGGGTCCTTTTTCAGGTCAGTTTGATACAACCGGAGACCCGGCTGGACCGGAGAGCGGACGGAAGCCTCCCAAACCGGGTCTCCTCCCAAGGAACAGGAGCAGAACAGGATCGGAATGGGATCCCAAGCGGTTGCAATAACAAATCGACCTGATTCTATTCACGGTTCATGATAAATGATATATATATATATTGTATAACATATATACAGTTTTACAATATTTAACATATGGTGGTTGATCAATATTCTTTCATCCTGGAATGGCCATTCGTCGCAGAAAAAAAGATATCTTTCGCGGATCTTTCGCGGCCTCATCGCGAAGCATGGTCCTACAACCATGTCTAGCTTACATGAGCCGGAACATGTCATAATAGGGAGAGACGTCTTGCAGCATGACCCCAGTAGATGGTTGAACGTTTCCACAGCTACTCAGGGTCACCTGCAGCATCTGTGGGACAATTGTGCCAAATAGAGTCAGGCACAACTCAACCCAATCCTCGTGTCAGCTACCAACACAGGGTGATGCGGCTTGGGGAATGTTGGGGGCCTCAAGCTGGGAACCTAGACTTTAGCGGCACATTCGCGAAACCTTCGCGGATCTTTCGCGAAATTTCACTGGTGCTTTCCCCGGGACGCCGTAACATTTGCAAACATCTGCACAGCCCGTCAGAGCAGCGGCAGGTCGTTACCTCACTGTCAGGGCTGCGCCTACCCAGCTTGCTAGTATGTGACAGTGGGGACAGGAATCGGAGAATCCTTTACGCACTGCCAGGGCTGGGCACGGAAAGGTTGAGGCTTCAGTTCGTTAGTCTGTGACATGGGGACACTTCGCCCACTGGCTCTGCCGGAGGATTGCCTTGCGTTTCTATTCTTTGTCAGTCCGGTAGAAAGGAAAACAATGAAAGCGATGACCTTCGATAAATCTTTCGCGGAAAAAAAAGATACTTTCGCGAACCTCATCGCGAATCTTTCGCGGATGGTTCTAACAACATCTGAAAGGCTGCTTTATATAAAACTCCTTACACGGGGTTTTCGATCAACTCCCATATACACATTTGTCGAACAACCCCATCCAACCGAAACCGCATGGCCGTGGGACCATCCCACAAGAAAAAATTATGCAGGCAGCCCAAAACAACTGGAAGGAGGATTGCTTTCCCTCCGCACTCATTCGACCAAGCCAGGGACAACGAGGAATAAACATTCACCCAGCAGCACCGTCCTGATGAATGTGTTGAAAAAGGGTGAAGCTCGTCCGAAAAGAACTAGTGTCCAAAGCTATGAGCACCGAACCTTCAGAACCATTGACGGCAATGCTTTCTGCCTGTTGCCATTGCCCAGCTCTCATGCAGCAGCCGATAGCAGCATTGCTGGTGACGGACGACACCAAACCCGCGGCGCCGGCGGCGCTGGTGTTCGCTGTCTGCAAGAACTGCAGGGCAGCTCTCCATTGGGCAGCCTTCTGACATGCACCTCAAAGTTGTTGGATTGCCAGGAAAAGTAAAGGCTCTTCCCCAAAGGTGATTCACCCACAGGGAAAACACACATCAACAAACATCACTCAGAGATTGCACCTTTGGCCAATTCACTGGCACTGCTGCATGGAAAACAACATCACAACGAGTTGACGAGCCCTCACGAAGCCTCCTGGCAATCATGCAAGATTGCGAGGTTGCGGTTGCATTGAGTAAAAGCCCTGACTGACACTGTCCGACCACCTCTAGTTCATGCCAAAAAATAGCGCATCAGCGCAGCAAGAACAAAACGTTGCTTCGGATGCTCTGCGAATGAAACGTTGTCCAGAAGGTGCGCAAAGTACAAGAACACCACCCCCGGCCAACAAGAACGTCTGATTGCCAAATCAATGGGGCATGGTGAACCCTGCTGCCCTTCCCCTACCAAAAACCACGATGAAAACATGAAGCCGTCTGTCTGATCATAAACAAACTCATATCGAGCAGCGCAGCTAATCGCAGCGCTAAAGCTGTAGGCATTCTGTGGAATCTTCTCTTGGACCATCTGCTGCATCGCTTGGACAGCCACCTGCCATCGCTTGGACAGCCACCTGCCATCGCTTGGGTCGAGTGAGTAAAAACGGAGCGTGTGTTGTGGAGTCAAGGCTATGGAAAAAGGCTACAAGAATAAGGCAATGGAAAAAAAAAAAAAACATCAAACTCGTTTTCCTCTACACCGCGTAATTCCCCAGCAGTGGACCGGGCATACTGTCTTCTACACATGTCAAATCCATTGCACGGCTGCAACGGATCTATCAAGTATCCGTGAAATCCACTGCCAGCGGATCAGCCCCAAAAGCGAGGAAAACGTGATGAGAGTGGGTTGAAGTCTCACCTGCGAGGATGAGCAGAGAGGTGAAAGGGCCGAGGATGAGCTGAAGCTGCTGCTCTGAGCTGGAGCCTGCCTTTCAAAAGGTGAACATAAGGATCCTCACAAATGAGTGGCTTAAAGGGTTGGTCGAAACCCCATGAAAACACCTCAGGGACCGAGGTATTTAAGCTCCAAGCTCCGTCTGACGAGTGGTCGTTCCCCCCTCTCGTCCGGCGGTAGTACCCCATGTGAAAATCCCGAGATATCCGGAGGATGCACCGACCCACTAACAGGAAACAGTGAAACATACATCAAAGGTACGCCGGTCAACATTGATATTCCCAATAAGATTTGCTTGGAGCAATTTGGACCCATCCTAATCCAAATCATTGTTTCGGTTGTTTTTGCTCCCCAGCTCAAAAATCAACACAATGCACTTGGCCAAGTCTCACCTCCCTCATGTATTCCAGGACGTCGCACGCCTTCTGCCATTGCCCTGCACGTCCTCAGGGAACACCAGCGAAATGGTTTTTTCCGAGCGAGATACGCTACACGTGTTCACACCATTTTGCCATATTTTGCCCATACGCTTCAAACTACGCTTCAAACCGGAAACCGTTCTGATCCTTGGTCTTGCCGCAACGGCAGAACAGGGCGATTTCTATGCAAGATTGCATTGTCCCTACGGAGTCCTAGGGCACACATGATCGCATTGTAGCTCACCACATCTGGTTGTGCCAACTCTGCACACATCGTTTGCAAGAGTGCGAGCGCGTATCTCCAATCGCAACATGAGCTGATTGCTGAGTTGTAGCTGAAAACGTCTGGCTGCAGTTTAACTTCCCTCATTCTTTCCAGTAAAATAAAGGCATTCTGCCACAACGCCCCCTTTTCAGAGGCACTAATGGCCGCACTGTAGCAAATCACATCGGCTTCCAGTCTTCTTGTGGGTATCGTAGCAAACAAGTTCAAAGCCTCTGGCCAACACGTCGACCTAGCACATTGCGAGATTTGACTCGTCAAGTTCCGCAAGACCAGTTTCGTCCTCTGCGAAGAGCAGACTTCTACTTCAACGTCTCTGTCTTCAGTCGCCCGAAAAGATCTTCCAACTGTGCGCTCAAAACGGTGGCCTCTGAACCGGTGGTTGCAACTGGCAGACTCTCGGCCAACGAGCAGAGTCTTGGAGTCTTGGAGCGTCCGGCCGCGTTTCGCGCGGAGGAAAGCAGTCTTCAGCTGCCAACGAAACATGTTTCAGCCTTCCAGTCGTTGCCACTAAGCTTCTCAGCCTCCGGTCTTTTCCGAAAACAACAGCCAGGGTGGTAACTTCGCATGGCGGCCAGTGCATGCGAAGTTGCGAATCCAAATGATCTAATCATTGTTTTTCCATCCGTCTACTGCACCTTCGGCCAAGAGCCCTACATCTGGCTCACAGATTTTTGGAAGAAACAAAACCCATTGGGGATTCACAAACCAACTAGTGTCCATTGCATGTAGACTCTGACGAACACATCGAAGTGGAACATATATTACATATATTTGTTGCATATTTAAGTTATATATTAATATATACTTATATATACACCCGATCGGAGGTTTCAAGAACGTCTCTTATGATCAAACCTTTAAAGTCAGCAGGATGTTTGGTGCCGCCAGCGGAAGTTTGGAGGGAGCACAACCATGGATGCTGCCATCTCAGGGACAGATCCATGCATGCATGCATGATGACAGTGATACATCCCGCAAGTGGACATCCAAGCGTGGAAGAATAGAACATGTGGTTGTTATGACCTATGACACAAATGGGACTTAAGACTTTGGTTGAAACATTAAGGACCTTAGGACGTGATGTCAAAGGCTAATATCATGTGGGTGTGCAAACTTTGGACAGTGAACTGTGAATTGGTACTCTCCAAACACAGTATCAATCGATCCTTTGCAAATGATCAGTGCCCAGTCATTTCTGGCACACAGGATTCAAGGTACACATCAGGATTTGATAATACTTTTGATATCACCCCAGAATATGGGATCTCTCATTGAAGGTGATCGATTATGTTCCCAAAATATGCCAAATCCAAAGAGGTTCCAGTGTATACGGGCCGGGCCAAGTCATAAGAACAATCACAGGATTGGTGTCAAGAGTTCTACATACTGTACAAACATCCTGGAGTAGATAGAAAGACCAAACCAATAAAATTGACCAGTCTCCTCTCGGTGCTCAGATTGTTCCCACATTCTATCTACTCCAGGATGACTATATTTGCATGGTTGCACAACAATCCTACACCTCCAGTCGTACCTCCTCAGGTTCGGTATGACTGGACCCTCCTGGCACCCGGGCGGCCCCCAGTCCCACCTTCGAAACGAAGGTACGACTGGAGGCTTAGGATAAGTGCTTTGGTTTGCACAGTAGTGAAGGACGAATGCTCCTGGGTTCCGTGGGTAATGCAAGCGAACGGGTAGGGTAGGTGACCCAAGTGAATGATGGGTTCAGGAACAGATTCTTCAAGTTCAACATCGAATTTCCAGGTGAGGTTTTTCCCTTCAAGATTTTAAGTGGTACAAGGAGATAGATTCAACTTATGTTGATGAACCTTTTGATCTTTCCTCGTCGCATCAACTTGTTTTTGTCCAACCACTGAATTAATCAAATCTAAGCCCACTATACAATTCCAATCAATTTACCAAAAGTGTTGTGGCTATGACTGGGTAGTATATATAATACCAGAAGCCAGCACATTTTCTCTCACCTGCGGCTGGTTCCTTGCAAGGCTCTGCAAGAACCTGTACCTGGCTGGCTGCCACTTGCCGCCTTTCAAGCAAGCACTGATGGTACTATTGTAGCTTGTAACATCAGGCTCAATATCCTGAGATCTGTTTGCAACAACTGTCCCATTTCCCCTCCCAAGAAGAGAACTATACTAATACTGGCCCCTTCCTAGCTGTTACTGCAGAGTAAAAATTGATTTCAAACACAAAGAAAACACAACAAAAACAGCACTCCTTCGACCCCTTCGTCTTTTTCCGGGTGTCTTGGGCCGACATGGAGCCCAACAATGCCAGGCACTGTTGCCATTGGACCGCCAGCGCGCAGGCTCCAAGACATCCGTTAAGACTGATGACGTCCGGTTGCACGCCATGTGCACATCGCATGTCGTACAACCTCCAGGTGGGGTGAACAACTGTTTTTTGTATTTTCCGCAGGATGGAACACTACAATGACTACAAGAGTTGCGCTGAAAAAGAAACTGTGCGAACACCCTCACAAAAAAGAGTGGTTGCAGAGAAAAACATGGACAGGCCATGAGAAGCAAGGTGCATGGGAATGCAAGGGAATGCATTGAACAAAGCTGTTCATAGGAAGCTGCCAAGGGCTACAAAGGGATGGTGCTTACCCGAACTTCCACCTCTATGTGACTAAGAAGTTCGTGATGACAGGGCGTGATGGGTTTCTGGATGATCTACACTCCGGCAAAATGAACCTGGACCCTCTTGAGAATGGCACCCTGAAAAGCTCCATGTGAATCTTCCAGGGCTTCCGGGCTTCTGGATGTATGAGATGTGTGTTTTTGTTTTGTTTCTTTTGAGGTCTGCCGGGTCCACGTGTTGGAAACCACTGGTCAGGTGTGGTGACACCGTGACGCGGAAGAAGACGACCCATGGCATGGCATCACCTGAAAACAGTCGAAACCCTCTGACGGAGCAACAACTGCAAGGCATAGGCCCAGTGATTGCACGTCTGGCAGGCGCTGATGCCCGCATTGTAGGCGACAACATTGGGCAATACATGTGCCTTGAGCTGGAAAAACACCAACAACAATGTCATAGACTTTATGGACAACATCTCAAAAACAGACACTTTTTTTTCACAACAACATCTACAGGTTACAGTAACTACTGTAGTATATAAGTCATGCAAAGCTTGGTCAAAAAACGGTGCTAGCTGGGTAGTGTGGCAAGTTGTTTATTATTGGATTATATATTATATAGGCCTAGGTTTCTATCCGTATCACTCGGCCTGTGGCATGACCTCAGTCAGCAAAAAGACCGCTCGCTGCCACTGCGTGCCCTTCTCACACGCACTGATGCCTGCACTGTAAGCTGTAACACCAGGTGGTATGTCGACTCGACGCATGGCCTCCAGCAACAGTAGCGCAGATTGCCATTCACCGGCCTTTTCGCAGGCACTCATCGTCGCCTTTTTCGCAAGAAACACGGAAGACACGCAATTGTCAGACTTGTCCCACTTGACTATGGTTCAAGAGAATAAGACCATATGGGTGCGTAGCTCAATTAAAAGGACCCCAAAAGAGCCCCCACCACTTGGGCCAGGGGGTCTCCATACTAGAATACGCACACCCATATATTGAACCCAAGAATGTTCAAGACTGCTCGTCCGCCTAACCTAACCACAACTTTACACATACTGTATATTATATAATCATATAATTTATAATCGCCATTAATCGCCTTTATCTCCGTTCAATTGACGATGTCACCCTATGCCTAGGCTTTGTGGCTTGCAGTCCTCAAGATGGCGCCCTGGCCCGTCTTCGTCCCCACTTTAGGGACACATCAGGAAACGATGATTGCGGGTCTAAACACTCCATGCGACTGGAGTTGTTGTTTAGTTTAGATCCCTAAGCCTCCAAGTACCTTCTGAGAAGGTGTTTGGGGTGGGTTTGGAGGGTCTAAATACCTTCTGAGGAGGTACTTGGAGGTGTAGGGGATTAGGGTCACAATAGATGTATGTAAATGTTGCGTAAGTGGATGGTCTGAAATAGTACCTTTAAGAAAGCCGAGTCACGCTGTAGGTGACCACATGTGGTCTTAGGCTGGAAAGCTGCATTTGCTGGAAGAGCTCGAGAGCTTCAAGCCATTTCGATCCGGCAGCGCAGGCGCTAATGCTGGCACTGTAGGCAAATACACCTGCAGGGAGATATTCAAAAGCGATGCAGGACAGTGTTCAATTGACACCTTGGTGCCAACTCTGAGATGAAATTAGGCGCATTCCCAGAAAAAGATGTTGGATGCTGATCAAATGATGTTGACACACGGGAAAGCTTATGTTTTACTGCTTCACAAAGGAAAGGGCTCCTTCGGTTTACTGAATGGTGCTTAGCAGGGAATGAAGGCATGACTCTTCTTCTATAGCATCTATAGATACCCTAGGATCCATTGCCGCATAGTTTATCATTTGTGTTTACCTACCTGGGCCTGGATCGATGGTTGCCCTTGGCATCGCCTCCAACAACCTCAAAGCTCCCTGCCATTGCCCGCCCTTCTCAAACGCACTGATCGTTGCACTGAAAGTAATAGCATCTGCACGGAAGCTGGCTCCTCCCATTGCATGAAACAAAAAGAACGCCTTCTGCCATTGCCAGCCCTTCTCACAGGCACTGATGGTGGCGTTGTAGCTGACGACGTCCATTTGCACACTGAAGTTGGACAGTGCTGCAAACAAGTGGAGCGCTTGCTGCCACCAACCAGCCTTTTCACAGGCACTGATGGCTGTGCTGAAGCTAATCACATCTGGCAAAACGTTCCGTCCAAACATCAACGCAAACAATTCCAACCCCTTCTGCCAGACTTCAACGTTCACACAGGCACTCATCGTCGCATTGTAAGTGATAACGCTTGGCTGCACACTTGACTTTGGCATTGCTTCAAACAGGTTCAGCGCTTGCTGCCATTGCCCGCCCTTCTCCAATGCGCTGATGGTTGTATTGTAGCTCACAATGTCTGGCTGCATGCTGTAACTTGACATGTTCTCGAAGAACACAAATGCCTGCTCCCACTCACTGCCCTTCTTGCAGGCCCCAATAGCAGCGTTGTAGCAAAACACATCTGGCTTCAATGTTGCCTCCTTTATTGCCTGAAACAACGTCAAGGTATATTGCCAAAGCCCACCCGTTTGGCAGGCATTGATTGCAGCATTATAACAAATCAAGTCAGGCTTTGCCTGTTCCACTGGAATGGCTGCAAACAAGCTCAACGCATGTTGCCACAGCTTCGACCTGGCACATACTGAGATCCCCATAGTGTAGTCCCTCACATTCAGTCGAATGCCCCGATCTTGCAATGCCCAAATCACCTTGAGCACCCAGTCTGCTTGTCGCTTTTGCGCCAATTCTTTCAAAATATGTCTTACCTGCCCTCTCGATTGATTGACTTCAGGCAGGATTGCTGTAATCTCAGATGAAGATGCTTCTGGTCCCAGATCAAGCAATGCTTGGGTTGTGGCCTGGATCAATGGATCTTTGATATGGGCCTTCCATCGTGTGGACACTCGGTGGCTTCGAAGGGCATCAAAAAGGTTTCGTGCGGCTTTCTGCATACCCATTCGCGCGGCTTACTGCGCCCCACCCTCCTTACGCGCGGCTGTACCCAAAAGACTTGGTCCCCAAAGGCGGCAACATGCCCAGCTTGGCTTGCTTGTTAAGGACTTGGGAGAGCAAAAGTTCCACCTCCTCCCCAAAACTGAGTCTGGAGCACAATGACCCTTCAAGACAATGATGCCCTCTGCGGCAGCTGTCTACCCTTCCATATTTGTATACAATTCTTAATGGCAACTGCGCCACAGTCCCTAGAACCAAAGTCCACTCAATAATGTGACTTTCAGAAGTCCACTCGGAGGTTCTTGGGCTGTCCGGCTGGGTCTGCTCATGGAAGGGGTCCAGCAAAGGTCTCACACTATCACAACAAATTGACCTGTACCTTCTTCTCGTCCCCCCCGAGCAATTTGGAGCGCGAAACGCTACAAATTCGTACATGGGTTCTGAAAAAAATGAGGGGATCACCAACCGATGAGTTGAACCACTTCTTCTGTTTCTCTGACTAACTCCTACACCTACAGTTCTCATACCACTTCTGGAGAGTCCTCCAAGGAACAAAGACAATCCCACCAGTCGGCGCCGAAAACTGCGAGCTCCACCATGCTCCACCTCTCATCTCAGTTAGCGAAGGCTACCGGCCGTTCCGAACGGCCCTTGGGTTCTCTGAAAGGCGGTCACGAGCCGAACGGACAAGGACCCGCTACCCGAGGACGGCGTTCGTACATGTTCGATCATGTTCGCTACCCCCCCCACGAAGCTCGAGTGAAGTGAAGACATCATATGTGGGAGTTGGGTTTCAACGACGCCCCAGGTACTGGTATGGTGGGACAATGGCTGCAGGAAGCTTCAAAATGCCAAAGGTTTCCTGGGTCATCCTGGGTCGTTTGTTTGAAGCCACACAAACTTGTTTGAAGCCACACACAAACGTTCTGCTCCAGCTCTTTGTCCACCAATCGGTCTGCCAATCGCTCGATGAGCGATGCTGGATGGATGCCGTGGCGGCCCACGGTGCGAAGGTGACGGGAATCCTGGAAACCTTGGGAGGCCAACACACAGCGGAGGATTCATGTTGTGCTGTTGTGCTGCAAAAACATTTGTGTATGTGTGTGTTTGCATGTTGTGTATCCTGTTTGTGTCGTGCTCACTTGTCTGCCTGGCTGGTTTCTTCCAAGAAGCCCGGCATACTGAAAGTCAAAAGCATGTCTATGTCCTACCCAGACCATCCAGTGCACTGGAATAGTTACATACATGAAGCCTGTTTATGACCCATGCATGGCGGCATAACTCTTTCAGTCCCATTTGTCTGGTCTACGGACCCAGAACGGTTCAGTACCCGCACCGACGGGTGGGTTGGATGGCTTCCACATCCGACTTTCGAGCCGAAATCCACCATCTGTGAACCATTAAAATGAAACTTGGATTGAGAGTGCAGGAACCTGGACAATAAGATCCCCAGGTTTGCGGATAAGAACTTCCACCTATTCCACCACTCCAGTCACGTATTGTGACCATGCTAAGAACACACAGAAACTTCCACCTATTCTTGTCTAGATCCCCCAAAAGAAGGAATAAAGGAACCCTGACATTGGTCACAACTGCAATAGTATGAAAACTCTTGGTTTTTCCCTTCCAAAAGGACAGCTCCTTGCATTTGAGTCAGAACACAAAATCAAAACAATTGATGCATATAGACTGTTGATTCATCACTCCCCGATATTCTCAGGTGTTACCATGCACTGATCTTTTGTCCAAGTACCACCATCCCTCAGCAGCGATTCTTGCTCGTGGGTCACAAGGAGAGGTGTGCCCCGCAGTGGAAAGGCTGTGACTCGCGGCCATTGCCCAGACTTCATCAAAACACCGATGATCGCCTGGGACGGAACACCAATGGAATGGGACGAATAGATGGTGAAGGACCCTGGAACACCAGAAGGGCATTGCTCAATATGAAGGAACTCTACGGTAGCTGAATGCTTTCAAAGTTACTTGTTTTTCGGAAGGAGCTGCAAAAAACCTGTGCTTTCCTTGATTCCGGTACCTTGTTTTTTGCGGGGGGGGTTCGAAGTCTGCAAAAAACGGGCAATCTGCAAACTGCCGAAAAAACCCATTTGGAGCCAGGCCAATATTGGAGTTGGATCATGGTGACTGTATGTTCTTTTAGCCTGGTCCAAGCTAAGGGCGACCCCCATGCAACCGACACACTCCGACCAGCAACCCGTCGTTCTACGACCCCTGAGACTGAACACTGGGTTTGTCACTGGGTCTGCGCTTGCACCAATTGTTTGGGGGATCAAAAAGCACAACTGACTTGCCACTTGGGGGATCAACAACAACGCTTCTGTTCGTGTTTATAACAATATCTGATTTTCCGCTTCTCTCATTCTCCTCTTCCCATGGTCAACACATTTACTGATGAATGTGACCTTCAATCAGTTGCCTCGCTGGCTGAAAACCCATCCAAGTCACATGAAAGCTGATCGCGTCCGGCTGAATCTTGGTCTTTCGCATCTGCCCCAAAAGCTTCAAGACTTGCTGCCATCGGTGAGTCCTCTCACAAGCAGCAATGGCAGCGTTGTAACCTCATGGCAGCCAGCTCTGAGGGAATTGGAGGAACCAGCTCGGCCAAAGTGGAGCCACCAGTCGGTGGATGGGCAAAGTGGCTTAAGGCAATTGACAAGGGCATCGTTACGAACGGAGCAAGGACGCTACGAACGTAGCTCCCGGCCTTACTAGTAACAAAATGCTACTAGTAACAAGGGCATTTCTACTAGTAGCAAGAAGCTACTAGTAGCTCGTGGCACTAGTAGCATGCTACTAGGAACAAGATAGTACGTGAAGGTATGGGATTTACCCAACACACAATTGAAACTAGAACGACCGGTGCTTTCATGTGTCTTCAATAGGTGTATTCATGGGTCAGGGAGGAAACAAAATGGAGGATTAAAACCAAACACGGGTCAACCCAGCCCGTGTTCAACGTAAGGGTCCAATATAAGCACATGTCATGCCAGTGTTACAGCACCCGGCAATATACTTTGTGCCAAATCTCCTATATATATATATATAGGAATCATAGGACAGCACAAAATTATTTCACACACACAAACATCCAGGTAGCTGATGAGACTTGGTTGAAGAGCTTCCTCCTGCATTGCCCAAAACATAGTCAGCGCTAGCTGCCATTCGGCACCCTTATCGCAACTGGTGATGGCTGCACTGAAGCAAAAAACATTTGGCTGAAGACCTGCTTTGGGCATCGAAGAGAGCAATCTCAAAGCTTCTTTCCATTGCCAAGACTTCTCACAGGCACTGATGCTAGCACTGTAGCAAAAGGTGTTCGGCTGCACGGTTGCTTGTGGCATGTGGTAAAACAAATTCAAGGCTTCTGCCCACCTCCAAGACTTCTCACAAACGCTCATAGCAGCACTGTGCACGACCACATCTTTTCCAAGGTGTGCAGGCATTTCCTCCAACAACTTCAAGGCTTTATGCCACTGCCAGGCCTGCCCACATGCACTGATTGTTGCACAAAAACTAATGGCATCAGGTGTCAAGATTCTGTTGATCATTGACTGAAACAATTGCAATGCAAGCAGCCAAACATCACACCCTTCACAGGCACTGATGGTCGCATTGTAGCTGGTAACGTCTGCCTCAACCTTGAACTCTGGCATTAATTTGAAGAAGTGGAGCGCTTGCTGCCACCAACCAGCCTTTTCACAGGCACTGATGGCTGTGCTGAAGCTAATCACATCTGGCAAAACGTTCCGTCCAAACATCAACGCAAACAATTCCAACCCCTTCTGCCAGACTTCAATATTCACACAGGCACTCATCGTCGCATTGTAAGTGATAACGCTTGGCTGCACAATTGACTTTGGCATTGCTTCAAACAGGTTCAGCGCTTGCTGCCATTGCCCGCCCTTCTCCAATGCGCTGATGGTTGTATTGTAGCTCACAATGTCTGGCTGCATGCTGTAACTTGACATGTTCTCGAAGAACACAAATGCCTGCTCCCACTCACTGCCCTTCTTGCAAGCCCCAATAGCAGCGTTGTAGCAAAACACATCTGGCTTCAATGTTGCCTCCTTTATTGCCTGAAACAACGTCAATGTATATTGCCAAAGCCCACCCGTTTGGCAGGCATTGATTGCAGCATTATAACAAATCAAGTCAGGCTTTGCCTGTTCCACTGGAATGGCTGCAAACAAGCTCAACGCATGTTGCCACAACTTCGACCTGGCACATACTGAGATCCCCATAGTGTAGTCCCTCACATTCAGTCGAATGCCCCCGTCTTGCAATGCCCAAATCACCTTGAGCACCAACTCTGCTTGTCGCTTTTGCGCCAATTCTTTCAAAATGTGTCTTACCTGCCCTCTCGATTGATTGACATCAGGCAGGATTGCTGCAATCTCAGATGAAGATGCTTCTGGTCCCAAATCAAGCAATGCTTGGGTTGTGGCCTGGATCAATGGGTCCTGCTGTGAGCGCATGTGTTGCCTGTTGGATGCCCAAGACCTGTGGCTTCGGCATGCATCGCACGTAAACAGCATCACCTTCTGACGGAGGCCCAGCATGTCTTTGAGCCAGCTGCCAACTGGAAAGAAGTCCACTGCGCGGAGCCCTGGAGTTGTGATGGATCTTGAAGACTTGATACGTGGATCATGTTCATGTTCACTCCCTGAAAGAATTATGGAAGTGGATGGCACCACCTGTTTGGTATGAGAGTCTCATGGTCATCCGAAATCACGGCCAGCCCCACATTTGGCCCATATGTTTAGTGCCAGGGAGTGCATGATATCTGCTTTCTGGAGCCCTGCCCTGATGATACAAGAGTCTTGGGCAACTCTTGAATCCTCCTGGAATATATCTTCAACCCTGAGAATCCTTGGGCTCTCCATAGCAGGGGTCGGGCCCTCCATAGCAGGGGTCCGGGCCCTCAAAACCCTATGTGTTTGAGGGTCCGGATTCTCAGGGAACTGGATATATCTCCTGGTGTTAGACCTCCTGGCTTCGGGTGGAAGAGATCTTCCATTTCGGTCGCAGATACGATCAGCATCGCTGATCGGATTGACATCTGAAGGTGTGGATGCCAAGGACCCTGGTCTGCCCTGGCACTCAACACGTTTGGCGTTTGGGTCTGGGATGGTCTGGGATGTTCGGGTGGCGGGTGTTCCAAGGATTTTGTAGCCTGGAACTTCCTGAAATGGTGATTTTGTAGCTCTCTGCTGTCTTCTCCTCTGACCAAACCTCCAAATTCTCTGGGGAAAGAAATACCATCGTGCGATCGGTGGCCTAAGTTGGCCCAAGTTTTCATAGGCCCTCCCTACTGAGTGTCATAGCCCGGACTAGCGGGCGACCGAAATGAACACAGCCACTGGCCAGGTGGTCCTTCGTTCTCCTTGGAACAATTTTGCAGGATGCAGTCTTCTTGAATTGCTGGATGACAAGGCACTTGAGAGAGGAGGGGGTGAACGAAAGGTAGCAGGCAATCACAAGTAACCCTGGTAGAAGTCCACGACGGCGTGAACCGGCGCAGGGGGGATTTGATCCAGGGGGGGGGGCCCCCCCCGACGAACAGAATCAACTCTTACAGGACCAAATTCAATGCACAATCCCAACTCCTGATTGTAATACATTTTTGCTAAAGCAAGGAGAACTCAGGTAGCTCAAGCTACCTTTCGTGATCTGCGACATGTCCCAACACCGAAAAAATATATAGAGGGGAGTCTCCAAGTTCGGTCATACCAATCCCAGACACTCCATGTATGCCATGATATGCCATATATATGCCTACATTGACCCCTCAAACCACCCCAATGTAGATAATGTAGGCATATATGGCAGTCCCATGGAGTGTCCGGGAATCAAATCTACCAGATCGTTTCTTGAAGACTCGACCTCCCAGCCTCCTTCGGCGGCTCCTCTGCCCGTCTGCAGTGGTAATGGCTGCAGTTGGTCCTCAACGCGACGCGTTGTCTGGTGAGACCCGTAACTGTCATGCTCGTTATCCAGGGTATCAAAAGGTTTAACCTTTTAAATCTATACTCTAGGCTTCCAACAACCATTGTTTTAATGGCCTTGGAAGCCTAGGGTATATATATATAATATACATCTTTAGAGCTAATTCAATCATATCATTATGTGTTTTCATTCCGTTGCATCCGGGGTTCCTACTCGCAAATACAGTCATGTTCGTTCCTTATACTCTCCCGCAAACGGACCACATGGAACCCAAGAATTGACCGGTGGTTTCGACCATTTTCCACAACCCGACGTGGTTTTGGGGTTCCATGTGGTCCTCTGCAGGGGAGTAAACCACAGCTGTTTGGGTCCAAGAGTACATTAGACCGACCCGGACGGTACCTGGCCACAGTGGAAAGGTGGTGTCTCGGCTCTCCACAGCAGTGCCTGGTCAAGACGATCCACACCAAGCATCCAGATGCCGGTCAAGTCTACCCATGGAGAGTCTCACAGATCCTACATGCCAAAGTCCGAGAGTCTGAGGCTTTTCCTTTGTAAGGGCAAATGTATATCATTCATGTCTGGGCCTCCTTTCAGGCGGTGTATCAAACGGCCCGCATTTACAGCTGTACCAACCTATCTGCATCCCGCCATCCGCCGCCGCCGCCGTCCCCACCACCGGGGCCCACGGACTCCGCTTGGGCCGCTCCGCAGACGAAGCACCAATCGACCTTGGGGGGTCCCCTGGAGGTTCCGTCCGTGTCACGTGACCGGCGTTGGTTTGGTTCAACCGAAAAAGCCATGGGGAGCAGGGTTTGTTCATGACAAACAAAGAGACATAAGGAGAGAACATGATGGGAATACTGCAAAACAAGAAGGTGTTCTGTGTTCTTTAACTCCAGATTCATCTCTTTCTGACAAGCAGTATGTCCCACTTTCTGCAGCTGAAGTCTCGTGGCACAGCGTGCACTTCATGATGTTGCATCCATCCACCTGAGGGTTCGACTCACGCAGAATGGTCATCGATGGTCCGAAACAGGTCTTCCAGGTCTTCCAGTCACAGTCTCCGACTGGCCAACCGTTTTCTCGAACAATCAGTTAATAAGCCAACGCGAAAGCAAAGCGACTCCGAAGACTATAATTAGATGCTTTGCAGTAGGCTCATCATGTTTACCTCCCTCTTGATTCCCAGTGGATATTGTTTACCGGGCTTCTGAAGTTGAGGTGGTTTGTTTCTTCGACATAGAATCTGGAATCTGAGTCTTTCAACCCGCGCTGATGGCGTGCGGCAGTCTTTGCGCTCCTAGATGGTTACCCTGGGCCTCCAGTACCTTTGAAAAGGTGTTTGGGGGTGGGTTTGGAGGGTCTAAATACCTTCTGAGGAGGTACTTGGAGGTGTAGGGTTTAACCAACCTTTGGGGAGGGACTTCAGATGGGATACAGCGGGGACACCGATCTCCTTCACAGGGCGGACCCACTCGGCTTCACCACCGATCTGTGGCCTGCAGCACACCGCTGGATGGCCTGCCAGTTAGAAGTACTTGGAGCTCGAGCCCAGCCCAGCCCCCCTTTTAGGCCACATAACATGTAGGTCGATTCGGAAATCACAAAAACACGTGTGAATTATCGCAAGAGACCCCAAACAGTGTGTGTGAGGTCTGTAAGCAGAAAGTCCGTAAGAACCCCCTGGGGTGTGCCCACACTGTTTGGGGAAAAAAACCCGTTGACATCGCCACGGCACCCGTTCAGTGGGATGCTGACATCGCGGGCAGTTCTTCACAGGTCCCCTCCCAGTCCTTGGGACGGGGGGCGGCTGAGAGACGCCAGTGACTTGGAGCCAGGAGGTTTGAGGTTTGAGGCATATAATACAGTGGATCCGCTGAGAAAAGGTTCTGAACAATTCAAGAAGATTGGAGTCTCAGCAACTTGTTGTTCCCACCCTGCATTTCATAGTGCAAACATTTCAATGGGTGAAAGGCGGCCGCATGTGCTTTCATGCTTTCCATGCACAGACTTTCCATTTAACCAGCCGAGCCCGCGTTTCAACACGTCGACCAACCGGCTTGAACCACCGGACCCAGACCGCTTCGGTTGGAACTCTGGAGTCAATGAGGTCGGGTTGTCCATTGGATTTGACCATGGTCCTTCACCAAATGGCATAGTTCACTGAAATGAGCATGTTCGCACCAATGTGGGGTATTATATGGTATTATTATATAAGAAAAACATATATTCACAACATCCTCTCGGGATACTCTTTTCTCTCTTCCTCTGATAAACAAAAAGCTAAACCAAGCTACTTGTGGATACTTCCGGCTTGAGCGTTCTTAACTGCTCGATTTTGTAGTTCTCGTCCTGTGTTTGGATCTGGAAAGGGATGTCTTCGTGGATCAATCAACTGAACCCATGTCTGGCTCGATGCACATCGGCCAAGCAGCTGGAAACGCTGAGCATTCTGAGACTCTAACCTGAAAATGATGGGCCCACGAAGAACAATGACTCAGGTGGGGTGGATTTCGGCCATTGAAGTATTGCCTTAAAAAGAACATGGGCGGGTACATGGCGAGTTTTGAGCCTCCAAATGATCATTCGTGGGTTGGTTTCACAAACATGGTTCACTCCTGAGGTTCCACGGGTCGCAACAGGCAGCAAGTTATACCAGTTCTACACGGTTTTAGCTCCCTGAATTCATGGGCCTGCCTGTGGATGGCATGGCCATGCATGGCCTCTTGGATGACTAGTTTCCACATACCAAACAGGTGGTGCCATCCACGTGAAGCAGTGTATAATAATCCTGTTCGGTCGCGGAACTGCTAGACCCATTCCGCTATTCAAGGGAAATTGAAGGGTTGAAGCGGCTGATCGCTATATCCATACCCTACCAATATCTTTGCGCCCCGTCCCACTGTCACTGTTGACTGGTACAAGCGCCAAGTGTCCGGGCGACACCCAGACAGGATGATCCAGGTACCAGTGGCCCTCAAACCCATGAAAAATATAGATGTGTTCACATAGAAAAACCATGCTTGTTGCTGGGGAAAACCAGAACTTTGATGGCATGTTTTGCAGGCGTGCAGAACAAACAGGCGGTCTGGACCTCCTTGTAGCAGCTTCAGCTGGTTGGATCCCTCCACCCACAGCATTTTGGAAGCAAAAGCAGCTGAAAACTATCACTTGCACAAGTGGAGGCGCTGGTATTTCTAGCTCAAGTATATAGAAAGTTCTGCTCCATTCAATTCGATATGGCTATATTTCCTGTGAAGAGCTGCATCCATATTGAGCTCCGTCCACCCCAGTCCCGGGCTAATTCCATCACTCACGGCGTTGATGAAAATTCAAGGGCTTCCTTCCGAGTCACGCTTGCATGGTGGGGGTGTGCCGCCTCCTTCGCAGCATCCGTTCCTGCGAAGAAGCACGTGGTGTGCACAGGATCTCCACGGTCTCAAACACAGGGTGAGGAAATAGCAAGGACGCTATTAGGTTGGAAGCCATCGATATTAGGTTCGAGGCCATCGCTACTAGGTTGGAGGCCATTACTCGGTAACAAGAAGCGGTGGAGGACTGACATCGCTATTGGGGTGGAGGCCATCACTACTAACTACTAGTAACAAGAAGCTACTAGTAGCTAGAGGCTACTAGGTGGAGGCCATCGCTATTAGGGTGAAGGCCATTACTACTAGTAACAAGAAGCCACTAGTAGCTATACCAGCAGCTTCCAGAACCCTTAAAAACGTAGGTTTTCAAAAAAACATAATATATTTAAGGAAAAAACGAGTTTTTCCAAAAGAGTTCTGGTAGCTACTGGTCAGAATGCAACTCCTATCACCCTTCCGCACACATGCGCACACAACACACTTGCAACTGCAGCACATGAGCCAGAAAAAACTCTTTTTATACACAACATCAGTGTTTGATCCATCCAGCTTTGTGCCAGTGCTTGTATGAAGCCTGAAGTGAACGTTCCAGGACTCTTTGCACGACTGTCATGGGAGAACATCTTCTGGCTAATCGACTGCACTTTCCAACGAAATCCTCACTGATCTGTACTGAAGTCACCAATGGACTCAAGCAATATTCCTGCGTCCGGGCTTGCTCAGTCAAACTCCAAAAGATGTGTTCGACTGCGTGCGATTTCGGCATATGTGGAAAGAGTGCTCGGCCATTGCGAAAAGCCAGCGTAGCTGCTTGTCGGTACAAATCTAGAAACCGATGCCCATCCTCAGCTGCACGCTTAGCACAATTTTGTTTCAGCCATACGTCACCAGAGTACAGGGCATGAAGACAAGATTGTATGTGTTTGCTCGCTTGCAGGCACAACCTCAAAAGAGCATCATCAATGCTACCGTCAGGTGGTCCACGGAGATGCGCACTTGCCCACCACGTGAAGAACTCACCCAAGGCCGTTGTGATGTGGCCCTTGTTCCACTGGCCGTTGGCAAACGTGGACCTATCCGGCCATCCGCATGTGTCCTTCGTCAGATTCGTTATGTAAGGGCTGACATGAGCTTGATCACAGAAATCATGATATGAAGCAGTCAGCAGCTCGAACCTTGAATCAACATTTCCAGCGTCCATCATCTCCGAAGCTAGCACGAGCGCTCCAGCGACAAAGCATTTGCCTAGTCCCAGGCGGTAGCTGTGGAACAAATCGAATGAAAAGAACGCGGGCTCTTTGCCTTGAACAAATGGAATGCCGGACAGCACAGGCGGCCGTGAGAACGGATTCTCTGAAAACAGTGTCGAGTACCAGCCAGGCGTCTCGCCATCGTTGTAAACTCGAAAGTTCTCAAATGCGCAACCACGCTGGCCTGCGCAGCATAAGTGGCAAATCCCCTTGGGATTGGTTTGATCCGTCATTGGACGCTTGATAACATTCCCGAATCCACGGCACAAGTTGCCAGCCTTGACAAGCCAAGCCCAGTCACCCGTAGAGTGCAGGCACACAGCAAAGTAAGTCTCATTGTAAGCGTTTGTCAAGCCAGTGTGCATCATAAACAAAGCTGAATCTGCCATCACCTTCAAAAGGTCTTGAAGTGCAGCGCTGTCATGAGTCATTTTTGGCAAGACGCCCGAGAGGTACCGGTGCAAGTGCGTGGAGCCGCTATAGTTCAACTTCATCGATTTATACTCCCTGATCTTCCTTTCCGAATTGGCTAAGGATGTTCCAAAGCCCAAGACGCAATGCCAGGATATTATGAGGAATGGACACCGCTTCCTTCCACGTCCTTCATCTCCGTGCAACAAAATCGGCGCGCACCGGCTTGTATCCAGCTTGTTCTCATCGACAAGTTTCCACATAGCATGACCAGGTTCGTACCTCCTGTACAATTCCCAGAACCGGGTAAGTATGGCGCGCTCTCGATTGCGATCTGGTGCATGAAGGCCGCACACAACGTGCCAGTTGTTCAAGGCAAGAATGAATCGGAACCAATCTTCAAGCTTCAGGACAAACAAGTGACCCCCATATCTCGTTCCAGGGGGGCCTGGGCAACTCGGTCATCTTGACCGGTAGAGCTAGCTGCAATCGTTTGCACAGTTTCTGTCCATCTCTTTCAGAGTTCTGTTCAGGGATCGCCGCAAGTGAAGCGAGCCCTCCAGAACCAGAAGCTACAGACTCGCCTAGGTCTTGCACGACGCCTCTGGCAGTTCTGATCGCGGCACGGTAGGATGTAGCCTCGGCGATCAACAAAAATGATGGACATGGAATTGAGCACATGTATACATGAAGAGAGTGGCAGTTAAAATTCAACGCGTGAAAGCTAATCCAGTCTCTGTGGCACGCTGACTGCAATGTTGCTGCTTGGAACATGTTGCATGCAAACACACAACTGAGCGATACTCAGCGCATTCTTTTTGCTAATTGAGCCGTGCACCCCAATGCACGCACAAGTGGAGGACGCTGGCACACTTTTGAGTGCCAACTATATATATGGAAACAATCCCCCAAGAAAGGGACATGTCTCATTGCCCAACACCACCTCCTGTCAACTATACATATACAGCCCAGTCCCCCTGCAGCATGCATCAAAGTTCAACACTTCACTTGCCATCAGGTATATATATAGGGAGAGAGAGAGAGCATCACATTTACCATATAGCGTTCTTTTTATAGATGAGCCTCCTTTCCATCAAGGCATCAAATTGTATATGTTCAAGGGACCGGCTTTACAGCAAAAGATCTGTACACAAGATAGCACATAAAGACATCCTCACAGCTGAAAGGTGCTTTCACGTTGTCGCCGCCCGCTTTCACGTTCCGGCACCCTGACAGTCCTTGCACGCTTTTTGGAAGCAAAGTTACTTTGACAATTCCAAAATCTCAGAAGATGATTTGCACTGTATCTCGTAACAAAACAAAGCCAAAGCGTTGTAACAACTTGTTCTATATATCTATATATATATACAGAAGTTCATGACAAGATTCCACGGAACCTTTCAATAAGGGCTGCCTCGAGCATGGCAACACTGAACTGCTCGTCGGCTATGTGCAACACCACCATATGGCTCCACTTGTCACGGGACACTGCATACCCATAGATTTCATTCTTCCATCTCCAAACTGCATTGTGGGTGAACCCTATTTTGAAAATAAGTGGGTATTTCTTCTCAAGAATATGCTCAACAACTTGGATGCAGTGGTTGAGGACAGCTCCAGCAAGAGCATTTGGTTTTGGTAGTCGGAACGAAATGCAGCCTATCTCATCCGCATGGCTGATCATGTCCTTCACGCAGGCCCGCTGAAGCAAGTGTTGGGGCAGATCTCCAGATAGGAAGGATGGTCCCTTATTGATATCATTGCCAAGCAGCAGCTGCTTTCCTGGAGCATGTGTTTTCAACTGATTCCTTTTGACTGAAGCCTCGATCGGCGGATAGGCAGCAGCCCTGAGATGCGAAGACATTTGCCATGGGTAGGGGAACCCAGATTCCTGGAGCAGACAAAACAACTGAAAGATATGGTTTCACAGGTTTTGTATGCACACATCAAAGCTGTGCATGCAAAGGCTCTGTGCGGTGGCAAGTCAAGAGGTCTAGAAGCTCTTCTTCTGGGGTTTCCTCACGGCCATGGCTCCCTGGGTTTGGCATCCCTGTTTGATGACGGAATGATGCTTCATTCACTGGACTCCAAAGTAGAATGATGAATTGAGAGGCAAAGCATACTGTATATATATATATATATGGGAACATACCTGCACACACACACACACATCTTCAGAATATATATGTGTGACTGATATTGACTGATCCAGCTTTGGCTTAAAGGATCAGCTGCGGTCGCCAGCAAATCAGCTAAACACAAGTGTGCATATCATGCTTGTGGTGGGCACAGCGTATCCACGCATTGAGGCCACCACTCCTTCACCGATGTCTCCAGCAACGGATCTCAAAGCTTGCCCTGCACCTGGCCCGCATTGCGGACAGAAGGGCTGAGGTTTTTGCAAAGGAAGGGTATAGGGGAATGCCAGGGAAAGGAGTTCTTTCGTCTGCCGTCCCCACAGTCATACTCTCATGCGCATGTACAGCGCATGGAAACCCAAGCGCATGGATCATGGAACTTTGCCGCGATATGGCTTGACCCAGTACTGCCAACTAAACAACATCAACAAATTGGGACAAAATTCACCGGAGTTCCTACCTATATAGTCTACCTCATACCAAAGCAGCTTTAACAGTCAGGGTCAGCGAGGATGCGACAAGATCATAAGATCCAAATCACCATATACACAGAAATGGGTCAGTTGGCGTCCATGTATGGCTGCGGGTTCTATCCCGTGTCCCTGGTCACACAGGTTCCCGCAACCACAACCCAAACTTGAAACACATTGGGTGAGTAGAATCTTATATATATATGGTTGATGACCCAACTTATGCCAAAAGACATGGATCACTTCTTGGCCTTTTTGGCCTTCTTACCACCCTGCAGATCATCACCGCCCTCAGGAGTAGTACGCTTCTCATACTTCTTGGCAGTCCTGAGTGATCGAGGGCAAACAATCCCAAAGTTGGGGCATGTTTGATGAAGACCACTGTTGCTGTTGCAAAGCTGAGGCGTGTTCCGGATCTTGACTTCCTCAGCAACTGCCTTGCTGCACCTAAGGACAGTCCCAACATCAGCGAATGCATCGCATGCCTCCCTCTCCGTATATATATATATATGGACTGCTTCAGCGCCCCAGGCTCCATGCCAATATGTATAATATGACACGCTGTGTTTTGAACATGAACAACCATACCGAAATGAGTCTTTTGCAAGGCCTCTCTCTTTCTATATGTATCCATGAAAATTGAGGAGAGGGCGTAGCTGTAGCCTGCTTGATTTTGTCATTGGCCAGCTTCACCCACCTGATTCCAACTGTCGACTGAATGAGGGCAATGATTGTTGAGGCATTGTGCATTGACTAGTA